CAGTGTTTAAGGGAATCTTCTGGGCAGAGCGACCTCTGTTATCCAGTTTGATGACGTCACGGCTATGGCAGCGCTGTGTCCACCCTGGGAGTGTGGAGGGCTCAATGGATACCGCCAGCACTTCTGTACAGAGTGAGTCTCACCTTGGCCCTCACTCCGACAATGTCTCCCTGTAAGTCCCTGGTGCCCCCTGAGCTCAGCCGACTGGGCACTGGTGCTCAGAGCGAGCAGGTCTGTCACTGCGAAAATCAGCTTGTGGACGCGGCCCCTTTAAGAGGCGTCTGCTGCTGCCGCTGCTGCCACAGCCTCCGTCTCACTCAGCCTTTCGGGACTGGGTGGCCCCACGTCCTCACCCCGTCCTACCTTCTGCCGTTGCAGAGTGCTTTCTTGGACTTCTTCCTAGTTATATGGCTTGTTCCTCTAGATCTCAGGCGATTTTTTCTTGCTGCTGCTTCTTGTTTCTATCACAACTTTGATTTGGTCGCCAGAGGGGTGAACAGAGCCTCTGTCATCTATGTCATTTTTTTTTGTCCCAGAAAATTTTAATTTTGATGAAGCCAAATCTATTAGTTTTTTTTTCTTTTGTAGTTAATAACTTTAATGTACTAAGAAATTTTTGCCTAACCCAAGTTAATGAAAATATTCAAAAAGTCATTTTCAGTATAAGCATGGGTACATTTCTGGATTTTCTACTCTATACCATTGATCTATTTGTCTATCCTAATGCCAATAGCATATTGCCTTGAATACTACAGATTATAGCAAAATTCAGTTAGGGAAATATTGTCTTGGCTTTTATAAGTCTTTTAGTTTTCTACATATCTTTAAAAATCAATTTGTCAGTTTCTATAAGAAAAGCCTTTTGGATTTTTAAATTTGGTGAGAACTGACATTTTAACAATATTGAACTCCAATCTGTTAACCCTGTGTAGCTCTCCATTTATTTAGTTTTCCTTAATTTTGCCTAGAAGTGTTCACAGTTTTCAGTATAGAAGTCGTGCACAATTTTCCTTAAATTGATTCCTTAAAAAAAGTCTTGAGATGAGTGATAAAGAAAATTTGAGTTAAATGGTTTCTTTAAATATAAAAAAGTGAACAATATGGTTTCAAATTCGACAGTAATAACACAGATACATGGGTTAAAAATTGTTTTGAAAATTTGAAAGTAATCGCTGACTGAATGAAATCAGACTCTATATAAAACCCTATGAAACAATAAAAGATAAAATAAAAAGGAAATATACCTTGTATTTTTAGAGAGAAAAAATAATGAAAACAATAGAAGTTCTAAAATTAAAAACAGAAAAAAGCTGTATAAAAATCTTATTACTTAAAACACTAAATGAAAAGGAAAAAATGATATTGGAAGGCACAGGATCAAAAATAGAATTCAAAGAGAG